ACGCGATTGGGTTAGTGGGTGGGGTGGGGGGACGTGGTTGGAGACTGAGCTGCATGCGGATAACCTTAAGGCGGTGTGTGTGTGTGTGTGTGTGTGTGCGTGTGTGTGTGCGTGTGTGTGTGTGAGTGTGTGTGTTTTAAGTGTTCTATGTTGTACACCTCGTGACCTGGGGGAATGACCACCTCAAAAAGGGGGCGAGATCTCTCCTCTCTCCGACACGAGCCGAGCCGCCACACCTCCAGATCCGCTACCCCCTAGTCTGCCGTCATTACCACGCCCCCCTTGCTGTACCTGTGCTGCCACCACTTCCCGCCCTAGCCCCTCCCCACCCCACCCCTTCCCCCCCCCACACATCTCTCCCCCCACCACCCCCGCCACTTCCCCCCCCTCGCTCTCCCCTCTCCGGCGTGTAGCTATGTGGCGGCTGACGAGTTGATCGAGGTAACCCCAGCTGCCGTACGCATCCGTAAAGAAACTCTGGATGCGGGAGCGAGGAGGCTGAGGGCTAAGCGGCAACAACAGCAACAGCAGCAACAGTAGCAGAAGCAGCAATAGCAGCAGCTGCAGCTGTGATGATTGTACTAGACGTGATGACTGCAGCAGTTTTATAGCAGCGGTTTCATGTCAGGGAGAATGGCTGTGCGCACGTGTGTGCGTGTGTGTGTCCGTTCCTCCTGGGATTTGATCCGTTGATTACTGTGTGTGTGGATTGGTAGGTAGGCTCCAATCCAATCGTACACCAAGATAGAGGACACGCCAGATCTGTCGGGTGGAGTACTGGGACAGCGCTTCCCTTCCGATTAGGAGCTCTCATGCAAAATATAATGGGATAGAAGAAGGAGGAGAAGGAGAAGAAGCGATTCCGTTAGCATAACGTCAGGGTGGAGTGGAGCGTCAACACGCTTCTCCCCCCCCTCCACACACACACACAAACACACACGGGCGACAGCTACTGAGGGCCCACCACTCCCCCTCCCGGCCAATCCCCCGCGCCACCGCACTCACCCTCCGCCACTCCGCCGCGTGCTCCAGCACTCCACCATACCAACCACCCGCACACGCTGCCGGGCAATCATGAACGCCAGTGTGTGCACCGAAAGCAGTTCATTTCCTCCCAAGGTGATACGGCCATCCGGGATACCGCAAAGTCCATATAAAACAGCCACAGCACAGCAATGATAGTAGTAATGATAACTTTAACCATCCTGGCCATGTAATGATGATGATGGGTACGTGGATGGACAGGTGGTAGGTAACCGCCTCGGGCCGTCAGTCTGGTGCGAGCTCCGGTGCCAGGGGGGTCGTGAGGGGGAACGGGTGTGATAGGTACACACACATGGGATAGATACACACACATACAGATAAACAAGCTCGTCTGTCGGACTTACAAGGCCATCAAGTAATTATGGTAGAAGTAAGTACGGTGCACCGTCATGATCTTCTGATGGCCACGTCGGCATCGTCATTGTCATCCTGGGGTTGTAGCTGGCGGTGATTGCCGGCCCGTCCGCTACGACGGAGTTGTTGCATGTCGTCGTGATGTGCTACCGTACAGTGTCGTACAGACGTGTTAGTGGCAGACATGCTAAGGGTGGGCGGGTGTGAGCGTCGTGCTTCTTTAAGATTTCTGTTGGCTCGCTGCTGGGGTTGGTGGCGGTTATGGTGGTTGTGACGGTCATGGTGGTTTTAGAATGTGTTCGTGCAGGTGCTGCTGGTATTGAATGTCATTGTTGATGCGCGTGTTTCACTGTTGCGTGCCGGTGTGTGCGTACACTGATCCGTATGTATGTGTGTTGCATGGGCGGGAAGGGGAAAAACGTACATGTATTTCCCTGACATTATCGATTCATATGTATCCTGCTTAACATGATTTACACTGAAATTCTTTAGGAAATTGATTGACAATCACGAATGGTGAAGCGCAATGCAAAACTACGAAGCAATACACCTCTTTCTCCTTTCTGTCTTCCGCCTTAAAACGCCCTAAAAGGTGGGCAAGAACCTAGATGAAATGGACGAGCATGCTCGGATTGAGGCACATGGCCGAGTGGCTTGCTGAGTGCGCGGGTGGCTGGTGGCTTGTGAATGGTGGGCGGTGGCTGGCTGGCTGAGTGATGGGCGGGTACGGATGTTTAGAAACCATGGGGAAAAGGGTGCAGGCTCTGTTCTCCCACAAAAGCCTTAACCCTCTACATTCCTTTTCGAACGGATTGCATTGCGGTACATCAGCAGGTACGGCAGTGTTAAGGAGATGATGCAGGCGGCGGAAGAAGGAGGTGCCGGTACGGTGGCTGCTGGCCGCCGAGGCGAGGCACCCAGTGGTGTTTACGTGGTGTACAGTGAAGTGAAGTTTCCCATCAGCTGTGACTGATGCACAACGGCCCACTGTCATCATGGTTCGCGATATTGAGATGTTGCTTTACGTGGAGGTGAGGCAGAAGATTGCTCTCTTGGGCTGCGTACGGCGACGCACCTGGGGACGCCAGCGATGAGGATGACATCCCAGGACGAGGACGAGGGCACCACAGGGGGGGAGCTGACGGCCAGGAAGAAGGTGCATTCCGCGACAGCAGCATCCGGGACATGGCCAAGCAGCATGTTGGTCAACGGGTGCATGCGGTCGCTGGTCCCTCCTCCGTCGCCGCAGACCATGCGGGAATGGCCTTGTGGACCACAGCTCAGGTCGCGTGACGGCAGCCGTACGTGGGTACGGCACCTCGCCTGCGACGCCGCCGCGCTGATTGTCCCATACAGTGGCTGCCGGCACCACCCCATGCTGCCGCCAGCTTTGGCGATCATCATCAGCGCCATCAGCGCCATTGTGCGGTGGAGAAGGTGCGGTAGCCGTTGACCTTCAGTTTCGTGGCAGGTCTCTCCTGGTTGCGGCTTTCACAACCGGAAAGCGCGGAGACGTGCTAATCCCGAGGTGAACATATATACATACATACATCTCGACTAGCGCTCACCCCTCATCATGGCTGAGACTGTCCGGATGTGACGGGGAAAGCAAATCGACACATCGACATGCTTCGACGACTGTCATGACGAGGACCGGTGTGTGTATGTTGTTACAGGGTGGTATAGCTTCATTAGCGGCCCCCTTTCTTGAGACAGTTCCCTGCTCTCCCCTGCGAGAGGGGCACCCTAATCCGCTCAACCCATCCGACTTCAGAGTGTACTCTTTGAGTTTAGCAACTCACCACCAGCATCGTACCAAATCTAGCGGATCAACGGCACCTCAACTTAGTTCCTGATTCGCTCACAAGTTGATATTATCACGTCCTACACCGTCCATAAGATGGGAGGCCACCTCCCATTTCACACTCCTCGAATACCTGAGGAGCCGGCAGGCGGATGTGAACCCGGACACCAGGAGCAGAAATCAGACCTTAACCTCTGCCAGCCGCCTGCCACGGTGTGTGGCTTGGGGGGGATGAACGAGTCATAGTCAGGGACATTTTGTTTATGGTTGGGTCGAAGTTAAAGTAAGATTTGGCTTTGGGTTTCTCCAATGCAATCCCTGATGACATCCACTTTCTCCTCGTGAGCAATATCCCCGCACCTGCTCCCGTGCCCTGTGCCCCGACGACGTACGGCAGCCGCCCCGATGATGCAGCTGCTCCTCGCCGCTGCCAACGGCTCCGGGGACATGTATCGATCTGCCGCCGCCATCGCCGCCGGTGGTGGCGGCTGCGGCTGCGGCTGCGGCGGCTGCGGCGGCGGTCCTGCCACCACCACTTCCGCTGTCGGCGGCGCTGGCTGCGGCGCCACCTTACCGTACTCCGTACCTGGCCTGCACGCCGTGGATCGTGAAGAGCTGCTGCTGCAGGTATTCGAGTGCCAACTGACGCGACGGTAACTTGTACTGCAGTAACATTAGTAGTAAGGGTGCAGGATGCAGCAGCAGTGGAGCATTAGCTATTTCGATTTGTGTGTGTCATCCTTGCACAGGGGCCATTAGCGATTGCTGCGGCAGCGAAGTGGAGCATCGTAGCTCGTTACCTGCCTAGGCTCTGGATGGATGGATGTTACAAGCTTCAGCGAGCTCGTACGGCCCAAACGAACCCGGAGGCTCATGAACCGCTTTGACAGCGCCGTCGATAGGAAAAAGAAAAAAGAGAGAAAGTAAACGAAACAAACAAACAAACAGAAAAAGAAAGTTTTACGCGAGAAGAAATCGAGTGTTTATGAGAAAGAAAAGCGTCAATTTGACCCTGAAAACACAATTGCCTGTTATCGCCGAGAAAGTTAGGTAGCTAGGTGCTCATGTCCGGAGCGGAACATCTCAAAAATTGCATTTGCAAGACCGCACTGATCATCCACTTGCATGGTATCACGGATATCCGCGTTGACGGGCACACCGAGGTCCCATAGCTTCTGACGTGCAGACACAATCGCCGGACATTCTACCAAAAGATGTTTCTCATCCTCAATAGCTCCATTGCTACAACACACAGCGCACACGCGACGCTCCCTAATCCTGTTGCTCTCACTGTTGACCGCCAAGTCGGAGACACACAAACGAAAACGGATGAGGGCACGATGATGCGCCGGGGGGATATAACCCGCGTACGGCTTCGGTGGCCCCATCCAGTGCTTATGACGGCGCATCTTCACGCCGGGCTTCCTACCGTCCGTAACGAAAACTCTAGGGTCCACAGCCAGCCTATCATTCGCCCAATCATCGTTGACACGTGCCCTAAGGGTGTCCATCAGCGCTTCGACATCAAGCTTGCAAGCCGAGGAACGTCTAACCCTCATATCAATGCCTCCCCCGATTGCCTCCTCACCCCTAGGCTCTGGCATAGGCACGTTGCCGTACCTGATCCTGGCTCGTATCTTGATGGTGTCATGGCTTGGATGTACATCTACGTGTACTACATGTACGACACATGGTTACAT